TTGAGTTATTCTTAATAACTTATATTGAAGTCACCTGTACAAATTTTTTAATTTCAAATTTTAAATAAACATTTTCTATACGTGGTAGAGCCACGCTGGAGCTATATTATGTGTTGTCATCACCGGGGAAGGACCACGCTCCCACACAATACCATCGTAATATAGCAGTTTAATACTGTTGTTTCGTATGAGTATAACGGACCGGAGACCCTTTCTAGTGGAAATGATGCATTTCATCTCCCATCATTTTGATTCTTAATTAAAGATAAATTTTAGGCGTCTATGTGCCGCAGTATACACTTATCACCGGGCAGGCAGTATTTTTTGCGGCATTTGGTCTTCTATAAAAAAAAATAAGCTACTAAACCACTAAAAACTTCAAGTCAAAATTACAAAAGAGCGTCAAATATCGTTATGTGTACAAAAACTAAAACTAAGCCCTATAAAATTCGATGAAAGTCTATATTTTACTCTTTTAAGCTTTTCCCTTAACCAATAAAATAATATGGGCTGACAAGAGAATATTAGGCGTTGTGTTTAGTGAAATATTAAGAAATTAATCAATAATGTAATTTCTTTTTATACATAATAAGGGTGACAAACGAACACATAGTCCACCTGATGGTAAGTGGTTGCTGTGGCCCATAGACATAGCGTTGTCAGCCGTGAGGACTAAGATAGAATGCCTCTTTTCCAGTAAAATGTGTCCCTGGTTCTCTACACTCACCATACGAATCACAGCAGCATTAAGCTGCAATTTTACGCCGGTATTCTGTGAGAGCGTGGTCCTTCCCTGGTCGAGCCTACCCATTCGTGCTACAACTATACTATCACTATAGCTGCAGCATGGCCACCACGTAAAAAAAATTGTTTTTTAAATCCGACGAGCAACTGAACGAAACTCATCCACACTATGCCATGTATATTTCTTTAATGAAATTTCGCTGCCACTCAAACTAAACCCGATTAAATTCGTTTAAAAATTCTTTTTTTGTTTAGATTCTATATAACCTCTTAGAAATCTCCCATATGTAATGTTTATTATAAGCGTATGCCGCGTAGTGGGGGCCTACGATAATCAGTAGTACGGATTCCGAAGTACTGGCTCATGAGTTGTAGTGTTATGCTACTTACATATCATTTTACACTATTTTAAATTCATTTTTCCATTCTGTTTTGATTTTCTGCATTCACCTCAAAACTGGATATTTTGTATCGCCTTTATTTCCATAGGATCCTGTAACGTTTTTTAAACCATAAGAACACAATAACAAATCATTTTCATTGTGTTCTTATGAGACAGAACTACATACGTACATATACGTCACGCCTGTAATTCCTAACGGGGTAGGCAGATTCCAAAGATCAGTGATCAGTTTGAGTGGCAACTACGTTTAGCAATAAATTGGGTAAGAAGTGATAGGTGGCCAGCCCATTGCCTACACAATCACAAACCTAATGTCCCATTAGTTGCCCTTTACGATATTTAGGCAAGTTACACAGTTGGCACATTTTCTTGTGTTATAAGTAATAACTACAAAACTACAATAAAAAAAACTGTGGTTGCCAACCCGCTCACCAAGCGTGGCAACTATGGCAAATATTCTCCCATGATGAAAGTTACGAAACGACGGCCCCCAGTCCCCGGCGGCACGCTATTCCTGGCTACGGTGGCGACCATGGTAACGGCGGGGCAGGGGGTGCTAAGACTCACCGGTGGAGGTTCAGTTGCCACTTAAGACGACTCGACCTGGCAACATACAACGCACGCACCCTGAGGACTGACGAGAATATCCTGGAGTTGGAAGAAGAGATAGACAAGTTACGCTGGCAAGATAGGGGGAGGACACGGTAATCCTCGAATCCGGTCGAACTTGTTCTATCACCGGTAGGGCGACCATCTGTTCGAAGAAGGTGTCGGATTTATTGTCCACAAGTCTCTCGTTAACAACGTTGTAAAGATTGTGAGTGTGTCGACGTGGGTTGCGTACCTTATGAGACTCAGAATCACCAAACGGTATTCGTTGAAGGTCATATAGGTTAACGCACCAACCTCGGCACCTCCTGACGAGGAGGTGGAGGAAATGTATGAGGATATCTCTAAAGCTTTTCTGATGTCATCGGGCAAGGAGTTCCAAAGGCGTGTAGCCTGAACTATGAAGGAGTTGCCATAGAACTCGGTGAAGTGAACAGGAATACAGATTTTGTTGTTAGAAGAAGAACGTAGGACCCTATCATGAGATGAGGAGAGATAGTGAAATTTACTCTTAAGATAAGAAGGCGAAGATGGGTCATTTAAAATGGAAAAAAGAACAAGCAATATTCTACAATTGCGCCTCTGACGGATTGTAAGCCAATTTAGCTTAGATCTATATTGAGATATATGGTCATACTTACGAAGCCCGAAAATAAATCTTATACAGTTATTGAGAAGGCGTTCCAGTTTGTTCAGAAGATCTTGGGAAAGATCTGGGTAACACACATCTGCATAATCAATTATGGGTAATATGAGCGAATGGACAAGTATGATTTTAGATTTTGTGGGAAGAAAATGTTTTTGACGATACAGAGAGTAAAGTCATTGCCACTTTATGGCAATGACTTTACGACTCACTTCTGAAACCTGGGTTCTCCAATTCAACGTGCTGTCGATATGTAGGCCAAGATTTTTAACAGAATTACTGAACGGTATTATAATACTATCATAAGGTAAATCTGCCAGATTAATCTTAGCTAGCATTCTTGAGCTACGCACTAGTATAGCTTAGCATTTCAAAGGATTGACCAAAACTCCATAACGAGTAGACCAATCTTTTATAGCTGATAAGTTGTTGATAAGATCATGTTTATTGTCCATGTCACATCTATGCCGGTAGTTATTGGGAGCACCAATCTCGAAGTTGTTGACGAGTATGTTTACCTGGGACAAATAGGTCGCTCAGCGAGCTATGGAGAGGGCTATGCTCGGGGTTTCTCTTCGTGATACTCTTAGAAATGAGGATATCCGTAATAGAACCAGAGTAACCGACATAGCCCAACGAATTAGTAAGCTGAAGTGGCAATGAGCCAGCCTTATAGCTTGAAGAACCGACAATCGATGGGGAAAAAAGGTCATTGAGTAGCAGCCTCGCACTGGTAGGCGAAGTGTAGGGCGATCCCCCACTAGATGGAGTGACGACCTGGTAAGACATGATAGAAGTCGATGGATGCAGATTTTTTAAAATCTTTTTCTAATCTATTTTTCATTCTTTAAAAAAACGTTACCTCCTCACTAGGGTTTTCTTCCGTATCGTGGAGGCAGTTTACAAACAGAAATTGCACAAGGACAAATATCCAGACCCGGAACAATTATTTGTAGGCTATACAAATACTTGATTCGTGCGGGATTCGAACCCGCGGCCCCCAGCGCAGCAACTCATTGCTAAGCCACTGCGCCACGGAGCCGTTTTGCCTCAGGACCGTGCTTTGTGGCATTCTTTGGGGGAGGCCTATGTTCAGCAGTGGACTTATGAAGGGCTGTAATAATCATGATGATGATGATGAACTGGTTTGGTAGACCTTGTTCTGCCTTTTATCATAGATGACGCGATGAGATTTACTGCGAATTCGCTTCTCGCAAAAAAGCATGAGAAGGAAGACAATATGCCTATTTTCGGTATAAATGCCAAGCTCACCTTTTTATAGAAGGAAAGTGACAATCGAGCGGACGTGATAATACGTCAACGTGATGATAAGTGGAGGCTGCGATTAAAATTCAAAATTTAGAGCGCTATCATCCAAACAGACTAAGACGAAACGTCTCAAAAGGATCTCCGATTCTCTTTACACCTGGAAGCGGTACCCTATATGAGTTTGTATGTGGTAGAGCCACGCTGCGACTATATTATGGTTGTAGCACGAATGGTTTGACTCAACCAGGATAGGGCCACGCATCTCAGTCCTCAGCAACCCTGAGTACTGAGATGGAATGCCACTCGTTTCCAGTAAAAACGGTCTCCGTTTCTCTAGACTCTCCATACGCAACACAGCAGCATTAAGCTGCTATTTTCCACTAGTGTTCTGTGCGACCGTGGTCCTACCCTGGTCGAGCCGACCCATTCGTGCTGCAACCACAATATAGCTGCAGCATGGCCCTGCCACGTACAAAATTGTCTACAATACCGCCTGATGGTAAGTGGTGATGTTTTAGCGTAACAGAAGCCTATGCACTCTTGCCCTGATGACGTTATTTATCTTTACCGTAACAAGGTAACAACAGTTCGTAGTACTGTTAAAAAGTATTTATATGAAAGTGTCGTTTATTAGCGTTGTTTCTAATGAGGTTTGCTATAGTTATCAAGTTCTGACACTAAATCATGCAGTGGGCAATTACAAATAGTGAAAATGCTAAATACGTTCACAAATCTTTATTTTACATTGCTTGTATATATACATTTTGAACTTAAACTAAATATCGTGCTCGTTTTCATTGTGGTATCACAGTCCCAGTTCGTGAGGTCGATAGGTACCTTAATATTAACATACCGCCAGAGTCAAGCTTATGTGTAATGCATTAGCTATACCTAAAACTAATCAAGGAATACCTTAAGGTAAACCCTTACATGAGACGTAATTGCTAAGTTTTATTTTATTAGTCAGCATAATTAATTCACTTGTACCTATTTGAATTGCATTTAATTAGCGTACGAAATATTTTCCTGCATCAGACAGAAGAAGATGTACGAGTCAAAAAAGGAGATAGGTAGTTGTTTATAGAAGACAAAATCTATCTTAATTGTACAGTTTCTTTGAATTAAGAATAAGATTATGTGATCATTTGGTGATCACTATAGTTTAAATAAAGAGTTAAGGTTTGTGTAAATAACTATTAGGTATATAAAAGAATGGTGCAAGGATAACATAAGGGTGGGCTTGGTGTGATCTTAAGTTAGGCATAAATATGTAAGTACGTAAACGCGATTCATTTGTCATTATAAGTGAATGTGGAGATATGAATAAGATCAGTAGTGGTAGCCGCCGGAGCCGCCGTTGCCTCCAGAACCTGCGCCTGGGTTGTACGCACCTTCACTGCAAAAAAGGAATTGTAAAAATGTAAATTCTATACGTAAACATAAAACAAACTATCAACCCAGCCCCTTTCAGAAATGAAGGTGTGAGTGCTTTTAGTAAAGTGGTTATAGAATGGTGTTTCGTATGTAGAGTAAGAGTAACAAACGAGCTCACAGACCACCCGATGGTAAGTGGCCTGTGGTCCATTGGCAGCTACATCTATCCTCAATTAAGAATCAGAATGCATATGCGTTGTCACTGTTGGTATTCTGTGGTCGAGCCCACCCATTCGTGTTACTACCATAATACAGCTGCAGCATAGCTTTAGCGCGTATAACGTTAAATATTACGTGGTGACGTCACAAGAGAGTCTATCAAATTCCGTGATGTTTGAAATATAAGAAAATGTCAAAAATTCTAGTGACCTGCAATAATTGAGATATTAAAACACTGAATACTGCGAACAAAGATAATTATCTGGTTTCCAATATCAGCACTAGTGTTTAGATCGCCAATCCGTATTTTAAGGGTTGCTAATTTGATAATAGTTTTTACTTGGGTAATACCTATCATCAATCTTGAAGCGGAGTTTTTGTTGTATTTTAAATAAACGTTCTTATTTAAGATAATCGTTTCCTAAAATCACATATAATATTAAAAATCATACAGTTTCATAAGAGCCTATCAAATTCCACTGTAGAACATAGGCCTCTCACGTGAGGAGGATACTTGGCATAGTTGGCCTTAGACCATGTGTTCTAAGTAATTGCTTGGCAGGCGGGCTTTGGTTTAATTTGGATGAAATTAGTTGGATACAACTTAACTAAAAGTAAATGACTATTACTTTTAGTTAAGTTGTATCCAACTAATTATTTCGGTTTATATCAATCAATTTATTTCGAAATGCAAAAATAAAAAATATCTTTATTTTTTTTACTAGAATTTAACATTTTTTATAGGATAGGGTGACAAACGAGCACACAGTCCACCTGATGGTAAGTGGTTGCTGTGACCCATAGACATCTACATCTGTCCTCGTTTGCGAATCAAAATGCAAATGCGTTGTCACCCGTGAGGACTAAGATGGAATGCCTCTTTTCCAGTAAAAAGGGCCTCCGGTTCTCTACACTCACCATACGCGAAACACAGCAGTGTTAAGCTGCTATTTTACTCTGGTATTCTGTGAGAGCGTGGTCCTTCCCCGGTCGAGCCGACCCAATCGTGCTACAACTATACTACTAATATAGCTGCAACATGGCTCTACCACGTATAAAACATTGTGAAAAAAATTTTTGTCATACACAACAGCCGTACTTTAAGATGTTAAAATATTTACAATAAACAATGTCACTTACGAAGATGGGTTACGCCTGTTGAATTCAATGGAGCGCAGGATTTCTTCAGGGATTGGAGGTGGAGTTGGGAGGTGAGACCCGACGGGGTGAAAACCATTTTCGTCAGCGGTGTATGATAGGGAGATCTGTTGACCGTCAGGAGCGCGGTATGAAAATCCACCTTCAGCTGTAACAGCAGGACCTTCGGGGCCCTGAGCCCGGGGTGCACCACTCTCTTGGGCAGATATGCCATTACCAGTTTCATAGCTGTAACAAAATATTTTTACTTTGTACAACACAATAATATAAGAAAACGATTAATAGTTACAGCCTATACACGTCCCACAGTTGCGCACAGGCCTCCTCTCAATTCTGAGAAGGTTTATAGGGCAAGGAAGGTTTTAAAAATCAAAATATTTATTCTTATTTTTCAGACATGCCGGTTTCTTCACGATGTTTTCTTCATCTCCGAGCAGATAGTAAATCAGCACTTAAAATTGCAGTTAACAATTTCATTGGTGCCGTGCCGGCGGGGATCGAACCCGGGTTGCTCGCGTACTGTGAGCGAACTTACAGCGAGCGCTAAACATCTGAGCTGCCACGGTTCTTAAACGATTAATAATGATGATTACACGATTAATTTCAAAGGAACTTCAGTTAGATACAATACTTATGGTTTGTGGTGAAATTAATAGTAGTGGTAGTAGATAGCCGTAGTAGTTCAGTGTATCCTCAACTTAATATTTTACACTATGCGAGTAAACCAAGTTCGATCCCAAGTTCGACCAGTTATCCATGTTACCGTGTTAACTATAACTCTGCACGTGCACGAGTCCGTGGTAAAACGTTTAAACGTGCTCGGTGGCGAAGGAAAAAATGCATGTCTGCGAAAAAATATTTTCCAGTACATAATATATAAAGTCAGTTCTAACGTTTTGAGGCGGTGCGATGGGTTCTGCGCCGAAATCGTCTCAGTAATGAGAGAAGACCTGTGTCCAACTGTGTGACATATGTAGAATGCTATTTTTTACATCTTGGTTGTTCTTAGCACGTTTCACTTTATCGTCGATAAAATAAAAATTAAGAAGAACACAACATTTAATTTTAAATGGAATCTTTGTGATGGTAATATTATTCTTTCAGCAAAGAGACACAACTTCAGTTCTGACTATGAAAAATTTATGAAATCTTAATCTCGTATATGGTTCTGTTTCGTCCGCAAAAACTTGCCCGATTTTAATATTTTTCATCTTTGAAGACAAATATAATGAGTCTTTTGACTATTTACGTATTTTTTTGTTTGTTCAATTTACAACAGCAATGTTATAAATTTTGGAAAGTTTCTAGTTTTTCTTATTCTTTACTTATATCTATATTTCTTAACTTATTTCTTATGTTATTATTTTAAGAAAAAGTTACCCCTACATTAGGATTCTCCTGTATCGAGGAGGCAGTTTACATACATAAATTTCACAAGGACAAACATGCAGATCAGACATATAGATATAGCAAATATAGAAATAAACAACTTATAGGAACGTGGCAATGATAGATAAAGATTATATATATATATATATATATATGTATATATATATATACATATATATATATATATATATATATGTGTATATATATATATATATATTTATATATATATATATATATATATATATATATATATATATATATATATAGAGAGAGAGAGAGAGAGATAAAATTATATTTGCTCTAGCGTAATTAACACTATTCAGGGAAATCCAGATAAATACTTTTGTTAGGACTAAATGCTAAACGAGCTAAGGGGCTGTAAGCACCTCGAGTTTGAAAAAGAAATAGATCGTTTTAAGTTTTACTATAAGCACTATAAATAGGCCGCAGGTTCTTTTGACCCCTAATTAAAGACTCTTAATCTTTGAGTTGTTAATTTAATTTACGAATCAAAAATGAAACTCTATATATCGTATTCGTTACATGTAAAATAAGTTATGGCCATTCTACAGGCTAGTAAACAGCTAACGGTCTTGCCACTATACCGCCGGGAGTAGGACGGTTGGATAATTTTAGTTTTTAGTTTATTGTTTGTAATCCCGTCCATTCCATCCATTACAGCCTATAAGAGTCCACAGCTAAGCGCAGGCCTGTCCCATAGGGAGATATTTGTCATAGATGCGGACGGGTCAGCAAACGGAGTTTTTTTTATTTTAAGTTGTTACAAGGAAGACGTTGCTGCCGATCTTCTGTCTTAGTTTCCCTCTGTCGCCTCTGTCGACACCCATGACCATATGGAGTATATATTCTCACACCGCCACTACACGCTATTTTACTACGCTTTTTTGTAATAAATGTTATATATTATTCTGATCTTATAAAAACAATGTTAAAATAAATTAGATAGGCTACTGCTGAAATTTTGATAGATCTAGAAGTTACGAAATACTAACCTGAAGCGGTAAGATCCGTCCCCATTGTTCTGATTCTCGTATTTAAGGATAGGGATATTTGCACCACCGCTTCCACTATACGATCCAGTACCGCTGTATGATCCGCTAAAAGACCCACCAGACCCGCCAAAAGATCCACCAGAGCCGCCTGCCCCGCCCGATCCACCGAATATTCCACTGCTCGATCCACCAGCTCCACTGCCAGCACCGGCACCAAAACCTCCACCTGGTCGCGGTGGTAGGTACTGTGGTTCCAAACGGCCGCAAGATACCGCCGCTATCATCGTCGATAGCATAACAACCTGGAATAATATAGAATTGGTTGTAGTTTCTTAAGTTTTTAAAAACGGAGGAAAATATATACGGCAATAAGCAAAATAATGTTATAGAAAATATGTCAGAAATGTGTACTAAATATTTCGGGATAACTATCTAGGTTTGTCAAGTTGTTTTATTGAATAAAATCGTTTAATTTTACAAAACATTATGTAAACTCAAAAAACTTGTGACATATTTGAACACAATAATGTTTTTATTTATTATATCAGTTTGTGCTCAGATTATAGAATAATCGGAGAGTATACACTTGAAATTATTTAAATTTGTTTAAGTCGGAACAAACAGACAGATAGACAGATAGACAAAAATTTTAAAAGTTGTGATTTTGTTATAAGCACCATATTTACTTTCATATGCATTTAGTTAATAGCTGTTATTTTGACATTACAAACAGACACTTCAATTTTATTTATTTGTATACATTAATTTATGCACGCATGATGGTGTACAAGCTAAAAATACATAACAGCATTTCTAACACCTGAGTAAAAACATCATAAGAAAATGTAACTCTCTAGCAACGTCTTTATCGTCGTTAGAAGTATGCCAGCGACCCAGATTTGATTATTAATTTTAATTGCGATTGTAAGAGAAGGAAAATATTGAGAGGGAACCTGCCGCATGCCTGAGGAATATAATATATCTAAAACATATGAAGCACACCGACACACACTAAAGCAGCAAGGCAGGACTAGTTGCTTCACGACCCTATACACACACACACACACACATTTTTTTAACCTTTCTTTAAATTTTTGTCTTCGGAATGGCTGAACCGATTGTAATTTGACAGACGGATATGAAAGCAAAGCCAGGAGTAATCTAGGCTATGTTTTATCTGAACAACTAGAACAAATAAGAAATTATATTTTGAGAAATCAAAAACTGATAAGAAAATGGTAACGACACATTAATAAGCCTCACCCAGGCAAAGCCGGGGCTGGTCGCTAGTACATTAATAATTATGTTGCATGTTTTAATTAATCGTCTATAGTCGCATTATATAATAAATATTATGTAGACATATGTGTATATAATATTTATTTTAAATCTACTATGTGAAATAATTAGCACAAATCCTACAGTAAAAAGTAGGAAAATCCACGAAAGTAATAATAAAGAAATCCTAAAAACATATCAATAATAAGGTTAAAATTAAAAGCTTTAGCACAAATTTGCGTTGGTGTTCAAATGACAGCTTTGAACTAATTGTTTTAGCTTACCAAAAGTGGCGACATGATTATCGGTGGAATATTAAGTTCTAACCGAAAGCAGGCTTCTCTCCGTTGTAAGCCGTTAGCAGAATACAGTTCAGCGAGGATGTGCCTCGTTTTATATTGCTCCGATTTGCCCTTTCGCGGTTGCTTCACCTTGTGCGTTCTGCAGCGATCCGGCAAACGAATCCGTGCACGATCCATCTCCGCCTTAAGCTTTGAAACATTCAGCTCACAAACAGTTTCCCATTTGAGCGAACCTCTCTCAGTTGGGTTACTTATTTCAACAGAAATTATTTTAAAAATGGTTACAAGTTACCTCTTTCTAAACGTTAAACGTGAAAGCAAACCAAGTAGGCGTTCTATATCGAAACTTCAGATTTTAAAGTTGATATGACTACTGGAAATATATTTAGATAATTTTGAAACACTTTCTTTAGTTATATATATATCTTCTTCCATAGAGCTTCAATTAAAGGTACGAAGTTTTAGTTAATTATCTATTTTGATACTGAAAATTTAACAAAACCAATAATTAAAAATTTTGTACAGCCGACTTCAATATAAGTTATTAAGAATAACTCAAAAACTATTGGCCTGACCTTGATCAAATTCATATGGAACCACACAAGAAGTACCAGCTTTCAAATAAAAAAAGAATTATCGAAATCGGTTCACCCAGTAAAAAGTTATGAGGTAACACACATAAAAAAAACTCACAATGATTTCATTTACCACTGACTGTGTGGTAAATCGTCATTTGAAATTGCTCAATTTATTTAAAATATAGTTGTTCTAAGAAATTTTCTGCCGACTTCCTAAAAGGAGACGGTACTCAATTCGACTGTATGTTTTTTTTTATGTGTACCTCATAACTTTTAACTGGTTGAACCGATTTCGATGATTCTTTTTTTATTTGAAAGCTGATACTTCTTGTGTGGTCCCATATGAATTTGATTAAGGTCAGACCAATAGTTATTGAGTTATTCTTAATAACTTATATTGAAGTCACCTGTACAAAATTTTTTATTTCAAATTTTAAATAAACATTTTCTATACGTGGTAGAGCCACGCTGGAGCTATATTATGTGTTGTCATCACCGGGGAAGGGCCACGCTCCCACACAATACCATCGTAATATAACAGCTTAATACTGTTGTTTCGTATGAGTATAACGGACCGGAGACCCTTTTTAGTGGAAATGATGCATTTCATCTCCCATCATTTTGATTCTTAATTAAAGATAAATTTTAGGCGTCTATGTGCCACAGTATACACTTATCACCGGGCAGGCAGTATTTTTGCGGCATTTGGTCTTCTATAAACAAAATAAGCTACTAAACCACTAAAAACTTCAAGTCAAAATTACAAAAGAGCGTCAAATATCGTTATGTGTACAAAAACTAAAACTAAGCCCTATAAAATTCGATGAAAGTCTATTTTTTACTCTTTTAAGTTTTTCCCTTAACTAATAAAATAATATGGGCTGACAAGAGAATATTAGGCGTTGTGTTTAGTGAAATATTATGAAATTAATCAATAATGTAATTTCTTTTTATACATAATAAGGGTGACAAACGAGCACATAGTCCACCTGATGGTAAGTGGTTGCTGTGGCCCATAGACATAGCGTTGTCAGCCGTGAGGACTAAGATAGAATGCCTCTTTTCCAGTATAATATGTCCCTGGTTCGCTACACTCACCATACGAAACACAGCAGCATTAAGCTGCAATTTTACGCTGGTATTCTGTGAGAGCGTGGTCCTTCCCTGGTCGAGCCTACCCATTCGTGCTACAACTATACTATTAATATAGCTGCAGCATGGCCACCACGTAAAAAAACTGTTTTTTAAATCCGACGAGCAACTGAACGAAACTCATCCACACTATGCCATGTATATTTCTTTAATGAAAATTCGCTGCCACTCAAACTAAACCCGATTAAATTCGTTTAAAAATTGTTTTTTTTTTAGATTCTATATAACCTCTTAGAAAACTCCCATGTGTAATGTTTATTAGATGCGTATGCCGCGTAGTGGGGGCCTACGATAATCAGTAGTACGGATTCCGAAGTACTGGCTCATGAGTCAAAACTACATGCGTACATATACGTCACGCCTGTAATTCCTGACGGGGTAGGCATATTCCAAAGATCAGTGATCAGTTTGGGTAAAAAAATTGGTTAAGAAGTGATAGGTGGCCAGCCCATTGCCTACACAATCACAAACCTAATGTCCCATTACTTGCCCTTTCCGATATTTAGGCAAGTTACACATTTGGCACATTTTCTTGTGTTATAAGTCCCACATAAACATAGGACCTATAAATCCCAAATCAACATGGAATTCAGATCACTCGAGTCTTATTATCAGACAGTGGGAAACAGGCAAAAGATGGGCAGCAGCATCTTCCTGATAACTACAAAACTACAATAAAAAAAACTGTGGTTGCCAACCCGCTCACCAAACGTAGTAACTATGGCAAATATTCCCCCATGATGAAAGTTACGAAGAGACGGCCCCCAGTCCCCGGCGGCCCGCTATTCCTGGCTACGGTGGCAACCATGGTAACGGCGGGGCAGGGGGTGCTAAGAATCACCGGTGGAGTTTCAGTTGCCACCTAAGACGATTCGACCTGGCAACATACAACGCACGCACCCTGAGGACTGACGAGAATATCCTGGAGCTGGAAGAAGAGATAGACAAGTTACACTGGCAAGAGAGGGGGAGGACATGGTAATCCTCGAATCCGGTCGAACTTGTTCTATCACCGGGAGGGCGACCATCTGTCTCAAAGAGGTGTCGGATTTATCGTCCACAAGTCTCTCGTTAACAACGTTGTAAATATTGTGAGTGTGTCGACGTGGGTTGCGTACCTTGTGAGACTCAGAATCACCAAACGGTATTCGGTGAAGGTCATACAGGTTAACGCACCAACCTCGGCACGTCCTGATGAGGAGGTGGAGCAAATGTATGAGGATATCTCTAAAGCCATGCATTCCTCCATAACCCACTATACGGGTTTAGTGGGAGACTTCAATGCAAAACTAGGTACAAGAGAGAACGATAAGCTGACGGTAGGGAAATTTGGAATAGGGCAACGGAATTCAAGGGGCCAGCAGCTGGCCGACTGCATGGAGAATGAGGGACTCTTTATGATGAACTCTTTGTTCCAGAAGCGGCTCCACAGGAAGTAGATCATGTCGAGCCCCGACAGTTCGACAAAAAATGAGATTGACTTCATTATGACGACCAGACAACGTCTGTTCAGTGAAGTCTCAGTGATCGCGAGTGTCAAAACTGGTAGCGATCACCGAATGGTTAGAGGCACACTGAATCTAAAAGTAAAGTTGAAGTGGTCTAGTCTAATGAAGTCAACGCTCCGTCCATCTCGTGCTCTAGCTCAAAGTCCCGAAATCTTTCAGCTCGAGTAACAAAACCGTTTTCAGTGCCTAGAAGACTGCAATGTAGTGGACGATATGAATAATAAGCTCGTGGAGATTTGAACCCGCGGCCCCCAGCGCAGCAATTCATTGCTAAGCCACTGCGCCACGGAGCCGTTTTGCCTCAGGACCGTGCTTTGTGGCATTCTTTGGGGGAGGCCTATGTTCAGCAGTGGACTTATGAAGGGCTGTAATAATCATGATGATGATTAACTGTTGTGGTAGACGTTGTTCTGCCTTTTATCATAGATGACGCGATGAGATTTACTGCGAATTCGCTTCTTGTAAAAACGCATGAGAAGGAAGAGAATATGCCTAATTTTTTGTATAAATGCCAAGCTCACCTTTTTTATAGAAGGAAAGTGACAATCGAGCGGACGTGATAATACGTCAACGTGATGATAAGTGGAGGCTTCGATTAAAATTCAAAATTTAAAGCGCTGTCATCCAAACAGACTAAGACGAAACATCTCAAAAGGATCTCCAATTCTCGTTACACCTGGAAGCGGTGCCCTATATGAGTTTGTACGTGGTAGAGCCACGCTGCAACTATATTATGGTTGTAGCACGAATGGTTTGACTCAACCAGGATAGGACCACGCATCTCAGTCCTCAGCAACCCTGAGTACTGAGATGGAATGCCTCGTTTCCAGTAAAAAGGGTCTCCGGTTCTCTAGACTCTCCATACGCAACACAGCAGCATTAAGCTGCTATTTTCCACTAGTGTTCTGTGCGAGCGTGGTCCTACCCTGGTCGGGCCGACCCATTCGTGCTGCAACCACAATATAGCTGCAGCATGGCCCTGCCACGTACAAAATTGTCTACAATACCGCCTGATGGTAAGTGGTGATGTTTTAGCGTAACAGAAGCCTATGCACTCTTGCCCTGATGACGTTATTTATCTTTACTGTAACAAGGTAACAACAGTTCGTAGTACTGTTAAAAAGTATTTATATGAAAGTGTCGTTTATTGGCGTTGTTTATAATGAGGTTTGGTATAGTTACCAAGTTGGGACACTAAATCATGCGGTGGGCAGTTACAAATAGAGAAAACACTAAATACGTTCACAAACCTTTATTTTACATTGCTTGTATATATACATTTTGAACTTAAACTAAATATCGTGCTCGTTTTAATTGTGGTATCACAGTCCCAGTTCGTGAGGTCGATAGGTACCTTAACATTAACATACCGCCAGAGTCAAGCTTATGTGTAACACATCAGCTATACTTAAAACTAATCAAGGAATGCCTTACATGAGACGTAATTGCTAAGTTTTATTTTATTAGTCAGCATAATTAATTCACTTCAACCCATTTGAATTGCATTTAATTAGCGTACGAAATATTTTCCTACATCGGACAGAAGAAGATGTACGAGTCAAAAAAGGAGAAAGGTAGTTGTTTACAGAAGAGAAAATCTATCTTACTTAGTTTCTTTGAATTAAGGAGAAGATTATGTGATCATTTGGTGATCACTATAGTTTTAAATAAAGAGTTAAGACTTGTGTAAATAACTATTAGGTATATAAAAGAATGGTGCAAGGAGAACATAAGGGTGGGCTTGATGTGATCTTAAGTTAGGCATAAATATGTAAGTAGTTAAACGCGATTCATTTGTCATTATAAGTGAATGTGGAGATATGAATGAGATCAGTAGTGGTAGCCGCCGGAGCCGCCGTTGCCTCCAGAACCTACGCCTGGGTTGTACGCACCTTCACTGCAAAAAAGGAATTTTAAAAATGTAAATTCTATACGTAAA